ATTCAAAATAACTCTATATAAATGCTTATATTGTTACTTTTAAAATAAAAAAAAAACAATGTTTGATGTTTTAAATAATTATAATAATAGAATTTTAAAAATTTAAGCAAATAAATTTTAAAAAGTTAATTAACAATAACAACAACTATAAATAATATTAAACCATATATTATATTTAATTTTATTAATGTGTAACTTGCAGATAGAAGTTATTCAAACGATTAAGATTATGCAATTACAATAGATCTATATATTATCATATAATTCAAAATAATCAAGATATTATATCAATTTATTATACGAATTATTATATCAAATTTAACAACAACGTTATTGTTATATTTTAAAAAAACATATATTTATAAAGAATTCAACTATATAGGTGTTTCTGTGCTACGTGCAATCATCTGTTTGGTATATACTTATAAATGAAACAATTTTCATTTCACCACATTCATTTGAAACTCTCATGCATTTTTCCTTTCACCACATTCATTTGAAACCAAAGGGCTTGTAGCCCAGTGGTAGCAGGTGGTGTCCTCCTTCTTTGAGGTCGAGGGTTCAAGTCCCGTCGTGAACATAGGTGAAATAGGTGTTGTTAGCTTAGGAGTAGATTAGATTTGCCGCTTAAAAAAAAAACATTAATTTGAATCTCTCATTACTTTTCAATTTCTTTCTAATAATAAATATAAGTTGGTTAAGAAGGTTTAATAAATATCAAACCTAAAGTGTAATCATATATAATTTAAATTTCAATATTAAAATAATATCTTTATTTCTACTTGTAAAGTTATGTTTTTTAAGTTTTAACATATTAAAGTTAATTTATTAGTTTTAATATATTATTGGATGTTAACCATTATCAATTTAAAAATATAATTTTGGAACAGTTTGTATAAAATACTTAAATTATTAATTTAAATATAACATTGCATGGTCAACTTAAATATAAATTTTAGTTGAACTTAAACAACCCAAAAAATATTTTGTAAATAGTTAAAAGTGATAAATTGTAGTGTCTTTCTAATAATGATTATATGTTGGTTAATAAGGTTAAATAAATATCAAACCTAAAGTGTAATCATAAATAAACTAAATTTTAATTTTAAAATAGTATCTTTACTTTTACTTATAAAGTTATGTCTATAACTTTTAACATATTATACTTAATTTATTAGATTTAAAATATTGTTGTATGTAAACAATTATTAGTTAAAAGCTACTAGTTTTGAACATTTTGGACAAAATACTTAAATTGTTAATTTAAATATAACATTACAGTGTCAACTTAAATTTAAATTTTAGTTCCTTTTAAAAAACCAAATAATATTTTGTAAACTGTTAAAAGTGATAAATTGTAGTGATAAATGCAAAAACTAAATTGTAATCTCAATTTAACTATAATATTTCCTAAAAATATTTTTATAATCGTTAAAAGTTTTCAAATTAGTAATTTAAAATAACTTACAATAACAATAGTTAAAAATAACTCTATATAAATAATTATAGTGTTATCTTTAAAATAAAAAAAAAACCATGTTTGATGTTTTAAATAATTATAATGATAGGAATTAAAACATTAAGCAAATAAATTTTAAAAAATTAATTAACAATAACAACAACTATAAATAACATTAAACCAGATATTATATTTAATTTTATTCATGTGTAACTCGTGAGTAGAAGTCAATCAAACGATTGAAATTATGCAGTTATAATAGATGTATATATTATCATATAATTCAAAATAATCAATATATTATATCAATTTAGTATACGAATTATTATATCATATTTAACAAAAACGTTATGGTTATATTAAAAAATCATATATTTGTAAAAACTTCAGCTATATAGGTGTTTCTACGCAATGTGTGGGCATTCGCCTAGTATATGTGTGTGTGTGTGCAAAGGAAATAATGAATGGAGTAATTAAGTTAATATATTCTAGGAGGTTTGAAATAAAAAGGAAAGAAACTGTTATAGAGCATTTATTCTGAAATTTGATAGAATGATCTACCTTACATATATAAAATGTTATAAAGCATTAAGTCCTTTGGGTAAAGATTTGGTTTTAATAGAAAGGCTTTCATTCTTTCCTTTGGCTAGCATAAACCATACCATGTATTAACACTCTTATTCTCGCTAGTTTTTTCAAAGACTTGGAGATTTTGGGTACTAGCATTTGCTCTCTTTAACTCATACTTTGATATAAACTAAAAGCTTAAGAGTTTTGGACTAGCATCTTCATCAAGTTGGCCATTGTTGGGGTTTCCATATAAGGTGAAGTTGTACTTTCAGTCTACATCAACATTCAAGGTTGGACCCAAAGGACTTCCAAGGTTGTTTATTCTTTTCTTCTTTCTTTTGTTGATGTTTTTCTTTCCAACCTTTGCAAGAAGACCCTTGGTGGATTTAAACAAGTTTTATGTTATTCAGAATTTATGTCTTCCATTTGCTATATCTTGAGTTTTTGAAGCTAATTTTTGAGTAAAAACCCAATAGTGAAAATAGTTGTAGCTCAAAAAAATCAAAACCCGAAAGGGGCATAAAATGGTAAATATTGTAAAGTTTGTAATATAATCCTCATTGGATAAGAAAAGTGGTTGTGTGGGAATTCAGCAAAATAATGTCACTTATTTATAGTGAAATTTTAAATCAACAAAGTTGATGTTTCATCGATGGGGCTAGGTCGACATGCTGATAAGCTGGTGTAAAGGAACCAAAAATATTATTTCTAGTATAAGACAAGGGATTCGGTTGATTTAGTACTATGAGTGTACGATACAACGACAATTCTTACATGGAAAAGCTAAAAGTGAGCGGCAAGGATCACATATATATTCATTGATTTTTTTTTATTTCTGGACGAAATTATCCTAAGTGGGTAAGAAATGTAACACCTATAAGTCTGGGATAGACCTTTAAGAGATAATAGTTATAATCATTCATTTTATTGAGTAATTAAAATTCTCAAATAGGATAAATATAAATAAATAAAATTTCTTTGTGCACAATACGAGTTATATAAATGATAATTATATTTAATTATTGTGTATATGTTTTATGGACAAAATATTGTGGTCTTATGATATTTATATAAAACCTTATTACAAATTTAACGAATGATTTTAAATAATATTCATAATAAAAAGATTATTTGTGAATAAATAATCTAAACGAAATATATAGTAGTCGTGTTTACGAGCCCGTCAGTATAAAGAACACCATAATCTGACTTTGTATGAAGAAACTATAATTTTTTGAAGTTTCATGTTTGATATAGTACAACTGTGTGTGTCATAAAATATGAAATGAAGATAGGTTGCTCGTTAGCCAAAATGATGTAAACTAAAGTTGAAGTCCTTATAAATACAAATTTGTCGATATAAAAAACTTCAAAAACGGATCTCGTATGAATAAGTTATGAATTTCACAAAGTCTTTTATAGTTTAATCTTTACACAATGTAAAAAGAAAATATAATGTAAATTATTGAGATCTAAAAGAAAGTTGTAGTGCTAAGAAATATGAATCCGTGGATATAAAGAACTAAATGTTTGTATCGATCAGATACACTTTAAGTACAATTAACAACGAACATACTAACTAAACCAGAAAAAGAACAGAAAAGTAAAGAACATTAGTTAATTACAAAGATGTCTATCATCAAGAAACAGGCTGTTCTCACAAAGAGAACAATGGTCAAAAAGATGGTCAACAAGACATACATTAAGGTTTCACCCTAATGTTGAATATATACTAAGCTATACTAGTATATCCCTTCAAACAAGGGATTGTATCTAAGCTATAATAAAATTTGATCCTTATCACCAGGATATCAGATCGTCTATCTATTCTATACATATTTATATAATTCCTAATATACAAAGATTCCATAATATCACTATCTTCATGCGGACGTTGATAAGATCTTGCGGCATTGGCGCTGTTGCTGATGTTGACGCTGACGTTAGTGGTCAACATGTAAAGTGTTTGACTCATCATATCATTTGGTGTGACCTCATAACCCCCCCTACCCGATGATGTCAAACCTAATCTTCTTCAAAGGAGTCATCAAAAGAACCATTGTAAAATTTATCAGCTTCTTTCAAGATTTTAGGATTTACCCATCTGAATTCATCAATTTTAAGATCCTCCAATCTTTTTCTAAGCTTAAGTGAAATCGGCATACTGTATGCGCTTTCAAGTTCTTTATGATGAATTCCCTCCATGAAAAGATGAAATAAATGCTCAGTGGGTGCAGCGGGAAGATCATCAATGCGTTGAAAACACATATGGTTTTGACTATCAAGATAGAAAATACCATGTTTTGGTTCTTGAAGGAACATGTCCTAAATTGGTTCAACACCCACTGGAAGCTTGTTGTTGATGTAGCGAGTGCCATACAGAAGAAGAAACATAGTATACTTGGACATTCTGGGGGCTCCTGTTCTTCCTAAAGTGGATGATCTAGATGGACCAACTGATGGCACAAGATTTAGATTTTTTTACTTTGTTAAACAGCTGTTGAATTGCTAATTTCACATATTGAGTATGAATGCCTCTATGTTTGTCAATAATTTCCTGAATTTGTATCCACTCGTTGTAGCCAATTTTGAATAACAAACAAGCAAGCACAACCTCAATGTATTCATACTCAAACTTCTTTCTGACCAAGTGAAACTTCAATGACTCGTTCTTTGGGTTAGTTCACTTTACTCTGATGATGGGATCAGGTTTTGATCTATGAGCAAAAATATCTTCAAACTTCTTTATGTCGATCCTTTCATTCATATCCAAAACCATGTGTTTTTTGGCCCCATTATTATTGAACATCTGAATATTCTTGTTTTAAACATTTGTGCTTTGAACGTCAACACTTTCATCAGCAGAAGCAAGAGTCTGAACAAGTTTAATGGACCGACGTTCTTCTTTTCTAACTTGAATAGTGGCATTATGCTCCATCATAATTTCTTTGACTTCATCAACAGTCAGTTTCTAGTCTTTAGCTAAATCTTCCACATCAATAGTGAGCTTTCTTTTCTTGGAAGGAGGAGGGGCTGAAGGATCACTAGCGGAAGAAGAGCTTCCAACTTCAATGTCATTGGCTCCCTTTAATAAGGAAGCCTTCCTCTTTCTAGGATTGAGATGTTAATCATCAGAATCTATGTCGCTGTTGGTTCCTTGAGGAATCTCCCCCTCAAAATATGAATCAAGGTAAACAACAGTCAAAGGAACCCCAACTTGTGCCATAAAGCCTAATTCAAGAAACCCATCATACTCGTCAGCCTCAGATTTATCACCAAAGTTTGGGATAGACTGATCATTGTTTGTTGCATCAACGTCTGGGATGTTGCTCTCTTGTTTAGCTTGATTATCATCCCTTCCTGATTCAAATATTCCAGGAAGAGATGGAGTTGTTACATTCACCATTTATTGATCATTTATTTCTTGACTATTCTGCCTCTTATTTAGCATCATCAGTTGGGGGAGGGGAGCCAGGTAGTGGAGAAGGAGAGCGAGGAGGAGGATGAGATGGAGGAGGAGGAGGAGGAGGAGGATGTATATGTGGAGAATTTGATGATGGAGGTGGAGGATTATCACCAAGAGAATTTGGGGGGTATCTTTAATAACCATATTATCATCATCATCATCATCAGCCGAGGTCATAAACCATTTCATATCAGCTTCATACTTTCTTATAATAGTCAATATTTCTCCCAAAGATTGAGTTATCTACACCAACAGAGAGAGTTGAAAGATCATAGTAGTTTGAAAGTTGGAACTGGATTCCCCTTGATAAAAAGAAGCAGTCTGAATATGCATTAGCATAGGAGGAGCTGTTGCAGCTTGAGGAGAATGAGACATTGATCTTTGAGAAGTCACATCTTGAATCAGTGGATCAGTAGGTTCAATTTTAGGTGGGCTTGATCCACGTTGTACAATATCATTTGTTGAGGTAGTCGATGAAGAAGTAGAGCATAATCGAATGTGCTTGTTCAATATTGGAGGAGAATTCATTCCATGAACAAAGGCTTCTCCCTTATCAGTGGCAAGTTCATTAGCTTCTTCTTCATCATCAACACCTTCCTCATTATCTTCATCATTATTCTCATCATCATCTTCTTCAAAATTAGAGGATTCAACAAATTAGGGATTTGAAATCCAATTTCCATTCTCTAAGTAATATGCTTATCTCTATCTGAAGGAGCAGTTTTGATGATCTTTGAGGAAATGGTAGTAATTGGAATGGTGATCCCGTGATTAACGATATAACCTTCTTCATCATGAGCCAAGATCAGTCCAAGCCATTAAGGATAAGGAACATATGATGGCTTCTTGTTCCCAATGATACAATCAATCAACTGATCAAGAAAGAGTTGAGCAAAATCCAGTCTTTTGTTGCACACCATGGAATATAAAATTCTTTGCTCAAATAGATTCAATGAATCTAATCTCCCGGTTTTGTGTCCAATGCATTTACCAATTACCCTTGATAGATACTTCCACCCTACACCAAAACACTGGCGAAGAGTATATTTGGATGGATCACAAGAGGTGAACTAAAGGGAAAACTTATACCCTAATGTTTCACGAATGGAATTGCATCTTTCTTCAGAAGGAATTTCCTAATATTTTTTTATCGATAAAGATTAAGAGTAGTTCGAAAAGATTCCACATCAATAGTAACCCTAGATTCGCCATCAACAATGGTTCCAGTAATGATATGAGTACTAAAAATCAACAAAGCATGAATAATAGAATTCATATACTTGCTTTGGGTAGAACGGATCTACGAAGTTGTAGAAGGCATATCGAAGAGGGAAGCTTTTGACATAGTTGATGAAGTCTTTAATTCCTGAGTTCATGAATTGTTTCGAGATAACATCAGAGAATGTCACATTGTATGCTTGAATGACAATAGGAGAATCAGGGGCATGAGGGCCTTTGACGACATTGGTGTTTGGAGAAAACTCATACAAAACCTTTGACATGATGAGAGTGTAAGGAAGATGATGGTTAAGAGAGCCTTTTTCAAGAGAGAAAATCAACTGCTTGAATGAATTGCGAAAGTGACTTAGAAGAGAATTTTCCCTATAAATTTTCTTCCCTTTTACGTAAACAACAATTGAAGAGATCGACGCCCTAAAAATCTTGTATCCCAATCTTTTAATCGTCATCTAAAACTTACCGTTGAGATAAGGAAGTTATATCAGTGAGACATAGCATCAACGACACTAGCCATCAATGGAAGCAATCAGTGTATCTGAGTTGCAACCAGTAATCAAGTAATTTTGTGATGTCTCTTGATATTATGTGTTGAAACTGTTGGATTATGTCTCTAAGCCCATAACTATAATTGATATAAACTTGAATTGATACTAGCAATGTCCTTTTCGGTTGCCTTCAAACCTGAAAATTGAATAGGATAGTTGTTAGAAAGAGAAGAATGATTTATTAATTTATTACTTGGTTAATAATTAATTAGAAATCTAAATAAATGATTTATTAATGTATTATGTGAATAATATATTAATTATAAATCATGTTGTTTAATTAATATTTCATTAGAAATGAATTTGGAATTAATTTTGGGATTAAAGGAATTAATTGAAACTATAGGGACCAAAGGTGACAATGTTCAATAGTTGAACATTGAGCTTTCTAGAACCTCCATAATAGGGGGGGGGGGGGGGGAGGGGGAACGAGTTCTAGGGTGTTCCTAGGGATTTAAGTGTGCCTTGGATTCCTTAGGGAGGAAGTTAAGGGATTAAGGTTAGCCTAAATACAGTTGTCTTATCCAATACCTTCCTAACACCTATATAAGCCCACCACCATAAGGAATTTCGGCTATGCTCTTCCAAGAAGCCTCTTGGATGAAAATAATTTTTCCCTTCTCTCTCTTTCTATGTTATTCTTTGGTTTCTTGGTTTGTTTGTGAACCATTAGAGGCGCGAAACTTATGGTGCGTGCTACCAAATGTCTTTCAAGCAAGGATTCAAGATTGTTTACAATAACAATCTTAAAGGTATGTAACTAAACCCTAATTTTATATGGATTTCAAAAATTATAGTAGCATACTAAGGTTTCTTCTTTTGTGTTCATTGTTTGCGTGTTCAATTAGAGAAAAATTATATCCAATCAATTTTAGGTTGCATACACACATAGGATTGTATGTATGATCAAAACTCATCAGTGGCATCAGAGACTAGGATTAATTTTCTATTAAATATGATACAATTTTGAATTTATGAAATGAGAGGGTAACAAAATCGACATTTTGTTCAATGAACTCGTCGAGTTTGGTCCTCCAACTCATCGAGTTGGTGCGTCAGATCTGATTTTAGTTTTTTTTTTTCCTAACTTGATTTACTAGGTTTATATTTGGTAATTAAAGGACAATTAGTATATCCATTATTGGCTACTAGATAATTATTAATTGGATTAAATAATTAATATTCTTGGGTTGTTTAAAATTTAAATTAAAAGTTTTAATTTTGGAAATTTAAAATGAGAAACCCTCAAATATACCCTTATGGATTTTATAAATCCATATGTGGTTTGAATTTAATTAAATTAAAAGTTTAATTTATTAAAAGTTTAAATCCTTAGTATTTTGAAATGTTTAAAATACTCCCTATACTATATGTAAGATTAAAAGTTTAATATTTACTATATATATAAGACGAGTCAGTCGAACCACTGGCACGTCTCATTTAAGAAGCCATACTATAAAGGGAGTTTAAGGAAGTGGCTTGTAAAATGACCACCATTTGGTATCCATTCTTATCCACTGCTCTCTTGTATGGTGGAGGGTCGTTAGCCGAACGGGTTCGATAGGACACTTAATCCTCATTAAAAGTATAATGATAAAGTAACTAAACCATTTTTTAAAAATCCCATTCTAAGTTACTTTAGGAAAAATGTGAATTTGATGCTAACCCATGAAATTGCACATTGCACCTTATTGGTCGTTAATGGAGCGCGAGTGGTTAATCGGCACACTAATATAGGACTACTATTGTTGGCAATGAGTGGCTTGTAAATTATTATTGATTAATGGAGCGCTTGTGGTTAATCGACACATTAAATATATGATAAATGACATCGAGAATACCGATCTAATTTGCATGGTTATTCACATCTCATTTGTAATCCTCGACATCCCGGTCACAAAAGTGAGAGCATAATTGATATTAAACATGCCATTGAGTAGTTCAATAAATCTCAAAGATCTAGGAGTTTCATTAGATTGAAACTAGTAAGTGCTTGCCTACCTAAAATAGATTCGAATTTGATTACAACATCCCTCTTCAGAATTCGAATAAAAAATATGGATCCTAGCCTTAATTTAAAATTTGGGTTCATAATTAAGGATTAAATAAATCAACTAACTTGAATGCTTTTCTCCCTTTATATATGTCGAGTTCAAACAACAATGGTCTTCCTCATCCTTTTGGAAATGGTTTTCCAATCTGAAGATGATCTTCCATAGGTTGATCAAAGGTGAAAGAATGTTACCTTCTTCAAATGGTGGAACTGGAAATCTTGCTTCTCCAACTCTTCCTCCACCCCCTCTAGTGATTTACCCTGACCCATGTTTTCTTCAACTTGAAAAGTTCAAGGTTACTCAATCCATGTTGGCATGCAAACACCTAGATGGAAATTTTATGTATTTACATGTTCTAAAAATGAAGTCAAACATTGACAGATTGAAAAATGTTGGGTTTCGTTTTTCCCAAAGGAACTGGCTATTGACTTGGTTCTTCACTCGCTTCCTGATTCATATAGTCAGTTCATTAAGTACTACTATATGACTGACCACGTCTCAACCCTATTTGATCTGACATATTTGATAATTGTTGCTGAAGCAGAAATGCTCAAGTGTACTGTTCAAGCAAATATGTTTTGAAGGATCTGTCTCCTAAAACTCCATGGACAATGGCTACATTGGTAGTCCAGAAAATGGTTTCTTTTCCCAATGGAAAGGGATCGTCCAAGGTCAAACCATTAAACCATATGCTAAAGAGAAAGGCTAGATTTGAGATAGTTCCATGTGCCATTCCTGAAGAGTCCATATGTTTCTATTGCCAATTGAATGGGCATTGGATGCGAAGCTACCTTGTCTACCTGAAAGATCACTGAGATAGTAAAGTCAAGTTGTATAACTTTACTTCAGGTACATCCACAATCTAAATCTACTTTATTAAGTTACTATTCATAGATTCTTAATACATGATGTTATAGTCACATCTTAATGTTTTGAATTATCTAAAAGAAAGAAGGAAGCTTAAGAAGAGCAAGTTGAATCTGATCGTGAAAGATGGATTTCGGTCGCATTGTTCGATGATTAGATTTTTGAGCTGCTGATAAGGTGTTATGATAGATTACTTGTGAATGTCTAGATACATAGTTTTCATATATTTGTATTGTAACGAATTTTTTTCACATATTATAAATAAAATGAATTTTGATTTTATATATCCTTGCAATGACATTAATGAAAATTGCTGGTTATATTTCTTTTATTATATGGATTTGATTCTTAGTTGTGTCATTTGTGGAAATGTCATAATCAACAAAGTGAAAAGGAATTCTCATTACCCATGTTTCAGTTGGATAGAAACTTGGAGTCATACAATTCGAATTGTATGATGTATAAGAATCTTGATATTTGGAAGATTATGACTAATTTGTTGATCACATGTTTGTATGAGTTAAAGTGATGAACTAATATATCTAGAACACATTGATATGGACTATTTAGATCCACCAGAAAGGACGATAAGTTTGTTTGTCATGATTTACTGATGGTTCAGTAAATATGGTTATACTTATAAGATTAAGTGTAATTCTGATTCTTTGAATAGTTTCAAATAGAAACAAAATGAGTAATAAGAATCTATTAGGCAGAAAGATAAAGGTTTCTCCAATCTGAAAGGAAAGGAGATTACTTTAGTATCTTCTTTTGTCATCATGTTAATGATTATGAAACCATTTCACAATTGATCCACTAAGGACATCTTAGTGAAATTTTCTCAACTAAGAAGAAGAATCAAATATTGCTGAAATAGTTTATTCAAGCGATGAATCAAACTTCGTTTCCCAATCAAGTTTTAGAGTCACACTCTAGTAACTACACATTGTATCTTGAAGCTTATTTCAAACTCAATAGGTTTATAACACCTCATGAAATGCGGAGTAGAAATGTTTTCTTGCTCTAGCACATTCGAAATTGGTAGTTGTGATGTTTTGGTTAAAATAAAGATAAACTAATACCAGTTAAATGAAGTGTTTTCTTGATAAGAACCCATAATAACTTTTGAATGTTTTGTTTTTCTTGTCGAGGAATGTTCCTTAACAAAGAAACTTATATATAAAGAAGTTCGTAGGAGTCTTAATGATCTTGAATAGTTTCAGGAGTCAATCAAGAATAAAGTTGTTAGTTAACACTAGCACACGACCTGAGGTTGATTACTTATCGTGTTAATTTGACACATTCTTGTTTCTATGCACCTTCTAGTTAAGTTGTCTATGCATGTGAGTTATATAGTTCTGATTTGACTACCAAAGTCAAAGCACTTTGGTCAGTGATAGTACATTAATCAATATGAGTGAGTTGCTTGACAACTTGGAAACATTGGTAGGCCCTTGTGCTACCAGATGGAAAGAAATTAAGAATAAGCAAAGTTCAATCCATGAAAGGAAACAAAAAATTTTATTTTAGGTTTGTCCTCGACCTTATCTTATGATTGTAGGTTGGAAATGATAACTTCACATGGATAGGACTGTATACACCATAAAATATAAGTAGTAAAAGGTTTTGTTCTAATTCATGAAAATGATTATGAGGAAATAGTTTTGCTTATAGATTTAAAAGATTTGATAAATATCATTATGGTTAGTATTTGTGATAATTGCATTCTCAAATTTTTATATGATTACGGCATCCTTTTTCATAGTTCAAATTGTGAGAAATGGCAAGAAATAGTTT